CAGTCCATCTGGTCTAGTGTTTCATTTAAATCCACTATTTCCTTGTTGACTTTCTGTGTGGATGATCTATACATTGATGTAAGTGAGGTGTTGAGGTCCCCTACTATTATTGTGTTGCTGTCAATTTCTCCCTTTAGGTCTGTTAATAGTTGCTTTAAATACTTTGGTGCTCCTGTATTAGGTGCATATATATTCATAAGTGCTATGTCCTCTTGGTGGAGTGTCCCTTTTATCATTATATATTGCCCCTCTTTGTCTCTCATTACCTTTTTAATCTTGAAGTCTACTTTGTCAGATACAAGTATGGCAATACCTGCTTTCTTTTGTTTGCCATTTGCTTCGAGTATTGTCTTCCATCCCTTCACTCTGAGCCTGTGTTTGTCTTTAGAGCTGAGATGTGTTTCCTGGAGGCAGCATATCGTTGGGTCTTGTTTTTTAATCCATCCAGCCACTCTGTGTCTTTTGATTTAGGAATTCAATCCATTTACATTTAGAGTGATTATTGGTATATAAAGACTTAATACTGCCATTTTATCTCTTGTTTTCCAGTTGTTCTATATTTCCACTGTTTCTTTTTTCTTGTCTTTCTGACTGCCATTTCAGTTTGGTGGTTTTCTGTAACAGTTTTCTCTTTATTTATGATTTGTGACTCTGCTCTAATTTTTTGTTTGGTGGTTACCGTGAGGTTTGTATCAAAGACCTCATAGATGAGATAGCCCATTTCCTGACAGCCCCTTATCTCCCTTAGCCTAAGCAGGTTCCATCCCTTCCTATTCCCCTTCTATGTTTTTGTTGTCACAAATTATTCTTTTTTGCGTTGTGAGTTTGGGACCAAATGGAGGTGTTTGTTGTGATTTTTGATGCTTTCTTTCCCTTTATCCTTTATGTTATAATTGTTTGCTAACCTCTTCTGATAGGGAGCTGCAACTTTCTGATTGTTGTCTGTCTATTGATCTCCTTGCTCAAAGCTTTGTGAACCCTCGCCTTTTTGTTCAGGTAGGAGGGGTCCCTTCGTCATTTCTTGTAAGGCAGGCCTAGTGGCGGTGAACTCCCTCAGCTTTTGTTCATCTGGGAAAGCTTTTATTTCTCCATCACATCAGAAGGGTAATTTCGCCGGATAGAGTATTCTTGGCTGAAAGTCTTTGTCTTTCAGTATTTTGAAGGTATCATTCCACTGTCTCTTAGCCTGTAAGGTTTCTGCTGAGAAATCTGCTGAAAGCCTGATGGGGGTTCCTTTGTAGGTTATTTTCTTCTCTCTTGCTGCCCTTACTATTTTTTCTTTGTCATTGACTTTTGGCAGTTTTAATGTTATATGCCTTGGAGAGGGCCTTTTGGCACTGATGT